GGCAGCGGGGGGGGGGGGGGGGTTCTCAAAATTGCCTGCAAAAGTGGAAATACATTTTAACAAAGAACTCCGGGCAAAAAAATAAAAAGTACCTTTGCGGTTAGGTTACCCCGGCACTGCAAGGGTTAAGGTCTCATTTTGTCTATGGGACCCTGTTAATGCTGTTTTACTTACTTGATCCTCAGTCCTGCCAGCTCCCTATAGGCTGCTAGACTGGTCCCTGCAGCCTCTTCTCCCCTGGGCTCTGGCGGTCTGAGGACCGCTGACATCGTCAGGTCTTATGCGGGCCCACTGACTTGAGGATGCCAAATGACATTCCATAGCTAGAGCTAAGGAAGGGGGGGGGCAAGAGAGGGGAGCGCTGACCACCGCAGGACTGAGAATTAGGTGAGTAAAAAGGCATTGAGTCCCCTAGACAAAACAAGCCCTCTACCCTTGCAGCGCAGGGGTAGCCCCACTGCAAGGGTATGTTTTTTGTTTGCCCGGAGTTCTTTTTTAATGTAAACCTGCCACCTTTACACAGTGGAGCCAGCCATTTGTAGAAAGAAGCCTTTAAAATAAAAAAGGAACACATTCACCTACTTTAATCTGGGGGAAAAAAAGGGAAATCAGCATCACGTTGACAGCAAATTCTATAGCTCAGAGGCCGCTAATGTTTTTGAGATTTGAAATAAATGTAACAGCTTGAGATGAGGAATAGTACTGTGCATGATTAATAACGCATTGCCAAAGTGTACTGGCCCATAGTAACCAATCAGAGTTGCATTCCGCTTTGTCAGGTTATTGAAGAATACATTTTGATTGGTTACTAGGAGTGACTGCAATTAGCTCTAGCACATAATCTTTAATAACTGCTGCTGACATTAAATCTTCTATGGATGCACAACGAAAGAGGAAAAGGCGCTGAAAGGCAACCTTGGCACTCCAGCTGTGGTGAAACTACAAATCCCTTCATGTCTGTGGGAGTCATGCCTGTGACTGTCACAGTCTTGTGGGATTTGTAGGTTCACCTCAACCGGAGTGCCAAGGTTGCCTACGCCTGCTTGAGGGCATCACCAGAGTCCCAGACAGGGCCTATGAAGATACTGAAGCTCTGAAGTTCGGAGCACATGCACCCCCCTTCCTTTCCAATCTACCCCACAGAAATGCCCTGGTCTTTGTTTCGGTTGCCCATTTATTGAATATTGCAATATGTGTTTCCGAAGCCATGACTAAGCTTGTCATGAAGGCATTCCAAGGCACCCTGGCAAGGTTCTTGGCAGACTGTGATGATGATGTAACATTGTGATGTATGATGTCAGCGATCTCCTCAGCTAATGATCTAAGCTGAAGTCTCAGCTGAGGGCAAACAAAAAGGGAAGTACAGAAGTACAGGGGTTGTACTGGATGGACACACAGTGCCACTAGCAACCATCTTATGTAGTTATATCAAGCCAAACTGGGGTATTAGTTACAGTCTTGTCATAGGATAATAATACCTGTCAAATGCAGACCCGGCCTTGTCAAACGCACGCTTCCCTGCCCTTTGAAATAGTCTAAAATGAAATAAAAATGGGAAACAAACTCACAGAACCACATGCACACCACCATTGCTAATTAGATATTGATATACGGTACACCAGTATCACACAAACCCAGCAGTGGACAGCTATTGGCTCTAGTCTGCCACACAAGCAGTATAATCGGTCAGACTCTACTTGCAGCTAGCACATTGGGAAGACGGAGAAGGGCGAATCTGTCCTCTACATAGCAGAGGCCTCATAAACTGCTGCATAGTGCTGTGTGCCCATCAATAACACTCTAGAAAGCAGGCAAGTGGTTACGCCTGCAGCAGACGCTCTCTGACCTTTGCTGAGATACGAAGACAATTTCAATAGCAAAAAAAAAAAAAAGGAAAGGTATTAAAAAAACATGCAGCTCCAGGCTACAAAACGGTAAACACTTAGGCTGCTTTCCTGCGTCACTGGACAATGGGATCCTCTAACAAAGGGGCGTATTGAGGGACAAGGGGGAAAGCAGCAGCCAGAGATCATGAAAAATGGAAAGGAAGATCCCTTTAAGTTCTCATTTTGTGCATGGGTGCAAAGCAGATCCCAGAATGCTGGGAGAGGTGATTTAGATCACAGACCCTGTATCCCAAATGTTAGACGTGTTGCTGTTCTGTGTTTAGGCAGTCATGTGACACCTCTACAATGACAAGCATCCCATCGTGGAGATGGGCAGAGCAGACTGTGCCGCTCACACACTGGGAGGTGCAGCTTCAAAGATCTGTGAAGACAAAAAAAAGAGATAACCAATGACTTTATTCATACCTCCTATGACTAGCACTAAGACACCAGTTTTAGTGAATTTTAGTTTTTTTGGGCTGTTTCCACTGCAGAGATTCCCCATCACATAGATCAATCATGTGTTAAGCCCCGCCCATCTGCCACCCCTCCACTTCCGCCCGTTCCCAATCCAATGAGAATGTCCTAAATATGTCAACATGTGGCAAGAATCTGCAAATCCTGTGGCTTGGATGGCAGGTGGTTGTTCAGCAATGACAAGCCGTCAGGAGCCATGGAAATCTACTGTTCCCATGTATCCGGCACATTGAACAGTTATCTGAGGTTAGAAACAGATGACCACCCCTAGACAACAGATTGCACCCAGGGTCGGACATCTGTACCTAACTGCATGTAACCACTGAATGTGCAGGTACATGAGAACAGCAGCGGACAGCCACGGTTCGCAACAGCCTGCCATTGCTTTATACAGGCTGAGCGGCCACTGCTGTCCGCAACCATGTGATCCAAGCTACTGCATGTTGCACTTTTAGTCTGTGTGAATGAGCCCTTCGGCACTCTCAATGGACATAAGAGTTCAGGTCAGTAGCAAGGCTTTGCCCCAAAATTAGAGATGTCAAGCTCTCAGCTGCAAAATAAAACAAAGGCACAGAAGTCTTTTCTGGGTAGCTAAGGTTATAAGAATGCACCTTGTGGCACCTGCTTGTTGGCAAGAGTTAAAAGTTTAATACTGACTGACAGCTTCATTTAAATACAGAAGGTAAGGATGGCATAGGTGCAAAACATAAAATGTAAGTGGCACTTGCAACATCCCCCCTGCCGTAGATACACTCCACCATTGCTACTGTCTGTCACACAACTCCAGCCGAGGGTGCGATCGCTCTCCAGGCCCGGTCTCCTTCCACAGCAGTACAAACATGTAAGGCCGCACACTATACTTCCTCAGAAAAACCTTATCGGGTCAAGAGGACGGCAAAGCATTTCATCTATGTAAAATAAATAACGAATTGTTGGGACAGAGGAGTAGCTCTCCCCAGTTATTACATTACCTGTGGTCACATGGTGCGACTGTACTCGATGCCACTCTTGGCAGAGATGCCGGACCAGGGTAGCAAACTCCGCAATAGGGTGTGAGCCTGACGGTAGATCCTCTGGGGAAGAGAACAGGGGCTGAGACCAGCCAGCGCAGAGCCTAGATGCTGAATATAGTCCGTGAACAGCAGTCAAGGAATACAAAAAGCCAAACGTGAAAATTCTTGGGGTGGGGGCATATCTGTCTTTCCGTGTTGTGTACTCTATTTCAGGAGGCCGACACGAGTCGAGAAACAGGAATGATATATTGTTGAATCAAAGTCCATGCAAAATAAATAGCATTTTTGGAAAGCTGCTGGGAATTTAAATCACATGCTCATTCCCCCCCCCCCATGTTTGAGTTTCAGTGGACTCAGCATTCTAAGAAGTCCAGCTCCAAAATAGTCACTCTTCCCTATATGTGCAAGGGGCAGAGAAGTAACCACTGAGGCTCTAATCAATACTATGTGCATGCTTAACCCTTGCAGTGGGTTAATTGCACCTCCTCACTTGATCCTCGATCCTGACGGGCTGCTAAACCAAGTAGTAAAGTATCTCACCAGCACACAAAGTATAATCTTCCACGAGTGGTCATTTTATTGATGTACACACATCTCGTCACAAAGCAACGTTTCGGGGGCCACTCAGGGTCCCTTCATCAGGCATACTTGGATTTGAAGTGGTGCCATCCACTTTTACTGCAAAACCCACTTTAAAAGGGACATACCAGTAAGGAGTGCGGTGGGAACCTCTTTGAAGCTGCTAAACCAGTGGCGGCAGCCTCTTCTCCCCTGGGCTCTGGCGGTCTGAGGACTACAGACGTCATCACATCTTATGCAGGTTAAATGACTTGAATTAGACGTGAGGACACAAAGGGACATTCCACAGCTGAAGCGGAATAGGGAGAGAGGTGAGTGCTGACCGCCGTCGGACCGAGGATTAGGCGGGTATATCTGCTTTAATTTGAGCCTCAAGACCAAAATGAGCACTTAACCCTTCCAGTGAAGTGGTATCCCCACTGCAAGGGTAAGATTTTTAAATTCCCAGAATCCTTCTTTATTGTGAAATCGGTCATAATGTAAAATATGAGGAACAGCTGCACGCCAATCCGAACCTGCACATTCATGCAGGACCAGATGCACGCACTTGGATGCAGACAGTCAGCGTCCAAGTGCATGCACCCAGACCAACATGATTCAGTTCGGTGTGTAGCCACATCCTGTCTTAGGGATGTACAGGCGGCTGCACCTGCCCCTCCCGAGAGCAGGTCTCTGCATGGGCGTACATGCCGTATGGATCTGCACGCCCGTGTGAATAAGGCCTAAGCTTAGCAGTGAAATGTGCTTTTCTTGTATAGTAAATGTTGACACTATAGAAACACAGCTAATAAAATATACATTCGTTTGCAACAGATTTGACCCGGCAGATGCCAGTAAGGTAAAATAATGCATGAAGATAGTTTTGTCAGCCATGTCCACTGAAGGATATATTACTGTCCAGGGCGGGTGACCACCATTAAGATATAAGACATAAGTGTAGGCGTCCTGCAGCACACCACGGATGGAGTAGTAGTAGGGCAGGTAATGGTGCTGATGGAAGTGGCGGTTCTCATAGAAGCGGATGGCACTGCTGTTGGTAGTCAGGACATGCAGGTACAGAGCTTTACACAGATCCTGGGCAGTGCTGGAGATGTGACTCTTCAAGCTCTCCAGTAGCAGGGAACCTGAGAGGAGAAATACGAGTTACATTGACAAGTCATGTCATCAATATGCAATGTTCTTCACAGGTCTGAGCCACAAAAAGAGGCAGAAGTAACACGTTGGGCTTATTCTGACAATGATTTCTCTCCCTCAGGTAATCACTATCCCACCACTGTACAAAAGTCTATTAGGTGTGTCATAGCACTGGACCGATGGGAGTAGATATTGATTCTAATGCATACAGAATAAAGTGCGTTTTCCTTGCTGGAGGTAAAGTAAACTCTCAAACGTTCTTCAATAATACAGATCAATCAAATATACATTGTCCAGCAAAGTATTTCTTTACATTTTTGTTTGGTGGCGCCATCCGCGGTCACTGCGAGCACCCCCCCTTATTTAATTTGGGGCTTCCCGGTAAGGAGTGCGGCAAGGTATTTCTACGTTTGTTTGTGTGTTTGTGGGGCACACACAGCTTACTACGGTCCATGTACCCATTGCACTCCTGACCGCACGTCCAACAAAGTATCCTGGGTGCTCAGTAGTCGACGGATGGCCACCGTCAAAGTAATGCAGAAAAGAAATAGACACCGGCACTCCAATAGTAAATCGATTACGTCTATTTATTGACGTACGTCAAAAGCAAAATAACACACTTAGTGCACTAAGTGTGTTATTTTGCTTTTGATGTACGTCAATAAATAGATGTAATCTATTTCTTTTCTACACACAGCTTACTATCACAAACAAGAGTGGCTCCATAGGATCCTGCAAGGAAAAGGACCCAACCTAAAACAGGATATCGAGGCCATAACCTATTTAGACCATGTAAAGAGTACATTATAATGGTAGATATTGGTGGTTCTGTAGCTCCATTCTCATGCAGGGCAGTCTTGGTTCTGATTGTCTTTATCAGTTCAGCTAATTAATGAGCGAGTCTTTACTTCAAACTACGGATGCATAACACTCCAAAAGTATCTCTCAAGTTCAGTGCTCTGTCATTGTACCTGGAGTGGCTTAGTGGACCTCCTGCCCTGGTTAATGGTCTACCTTTGGTAGTCCAATCGTGCAGTGGCGTCACAAGGGGGGTGCGGCTCGCACCCGGGTGACACCATTGGAGGGATATAGTCCATGTACCCATTGCACTCCTGACCGCACGTCCAACAAAGTATCAGCTTGTTTTGCCTGATGAAGGGGTTCCTGTGTGTCCCCGAAGTGTGTTATTTTGCTTTTGATGTACGTCAATAAATAGACGTAATCGATTTACTATTGGAGTGCCGGTGTCTATTTCTTTTCACCATTGGATGGGTGAATGACTGACAGTCATTTTGGTGTGACCCCCTCTGAAAAGTCGGGCACTCGGTCATGTTGACACCATTGGAGGGATATAGTCCATGTACCCATTGCACTCCTGACCGCACGTCCAACAAAGTATCAGCTTGTTTTGCCTGATGAAGGGGTTCCTGTGTGTCCCCGAAGTGTGTTATTTTGCTTTTGATGTACGTCAATAAATAGACGTAATCGATTTACTATTGGAGTGCCGGTGTCTATTTCTTTTCACCATTGGATGGGTGAATGACTGACAGTCATTTTGGTGTGACCCCCTCTGAAAAGTCGGGCACTCGGTCATGGACCGAGCCCCCAACAGTTTCGGGCGAGAGGAGGGGACCCGGCGGCATACCTTATCCCGCCGGGTGACTGTCACCTCCTCTCTCTGCTGGCATCCATCACCAAGATGCCAGCATGATGCGCGATGACATCACAGCGGGGTGTCACTGGGTACCCGCTCTGGGTGGCACCCGGCCTCGGGACGCCCCTGCAATCGTGTATAATTAAAGCCCTGCTTGAGTCAAAACCTTTAAACTTGCACAGGGAATGCAGTCTGCTAAAAACGTTGTCTTGTTCTACAATGACAGCAATAGGGAAATCCTGGTCCTTACCAATCCCCTGTTTCCTGAACTCCTTCACCACACCCAGGCTAAGAATATACGCCACTTGTGTGTCGCTCGAGAAGCATGAAGCCAAGATGTCCCCATCCTTTAAAACAAAAACATATTTTAAAAAAACCAAAAAAAAAAACAGTCACATCGCAGTCCTTCCCGACAAGCAGAGGGAGCCCCGCATGCATTGCCTTGCCTCTTTGTGTACTTTGGTCCTGCTCTTTATTTCTGCCACAATCATGCCCACTATTTGCCCATGATACGTGGCTGCCAATGAGAAGAATTTCTTGTTGGAGGTGATGTCTCTGTACCAGGAGTCTGGATACCTGAAGGGATAAAGAGAAACGGTTACGCACTTTTACCTGTTGGCGTAGCACAGTGCGGCTTCTATGATAACACACTCACTCGATAGGGAACCAGTCGGCGCATAGCTCCTTCACTGTGTCTATGTCATCGTGGCAAAGAAAACGCAGAACAGTGTCGGCGACAGCAGTGGGACACTCCTCCTCGCTCATTCACACCTGAAAGAAGTTAAAGGATTGGAAAAGAACAAATATCGCGTAGCACAGTAAAGCCTTCCTAAAACAAAAAGGTATTACAGGTCTCATGCCATCACATATCCCCCAAAAATGTTTGCACAACATACCCACCACTAGATGGAGCCGAGGTGCATTTTCTATGCTCCATCTAATGGCAGGAGAACCGTACGAGTGGCATTCACCCAACTTTACATTGGGTGGAGCGTTTATACATTAGCCCCATATGACTAGGCTCAAGAATAAGAAAAACACAACAAATTCATAATTTCCAAGGTTACATAGTAGTCGAGGTTGAATAAAGACACAGGAGGTCCATCGGGTTCAACCTATATGGTGTGTGTGTGTGTCTGTGTGTGCTGCTCACAATTTCAATAACCCTGTATGTTTTGTGAACTGAGGAACTCATTCAAGTGTTTTTTGAAGCAGTTTACGTTTCCTGCTCATACAACTATCTATGGAAGGGAATTCAACATTTTTACTCCCAAAGTAAAATACCCCTTATGCAGTTTATGATTATACCGCCTCCCCTCCAACTTGCCCTTGCGTCTTCCTCACGGTACTTGATTTACGTAGTGCATTCCCAATACTGATGCCCCCATTAACGAGTTTGTAAACTGCGATCAGGTCACCTCTTAAGGAGAACTATGGGGTCAGGGCTTTTCCCCATAGTTCTCCTAAGGGTAACGGGAGGACGCATACTAGCGTCCTCCCGTCACCCAAAGCTCAGTATACCGCGAGCTGCAGCTCGCGGTATACTGAGACGCCGCAGCCGGGACGGATCCCGACAATTCTGTCTGGATCCACCCATCTGCGTGAGGGACAGCTGGCTCCGCCTATCTAGAGGCAGAGCCAGCTGTACCCTCCCCCGTCCGTTCCGCCAGTAAGCACTGGAGGATCGGAGCGGGGAGGGGGGGGGAATCCTTGCAGGGAGCTGTGAGTGAGAGTCATGGCTCTCTGCACGGATAGATCGAGAAGTGATCATGCTGCTGGTATGTGTTCGCTCACTTCCCGATCTATTGAGCCGACGTGCGACAGTTTCATTGTCACAGGTCGGCTAGAACTATGAGGCTGAGTGATTTTCACTCACCTTATAGTTCTCCTTTAATCGTCTCTTCTCTAAGGAGAACAATCCTCATTTTGTAGGTGTTCTTGATAACTCAGACCCTCCACCCCCGTTATTTTGGTTGCCTTTCTCTTAACTTTTTCTAGCTCACGGACATCCCACCTAAGGATTAGTGACCAGAGTTGAACTGCATACTCAAGATGGGACCTTACCAGGGATTTGTAAAGGGTAGGGCTGCAACTAATCTAAGTCAATTATAATCGATGATGGAAAACGTTGTCAACGTTTTCCATCATCGATTAATCGGCTTTCGATTAGTTGACCTGTTTGCGGCTCCCCACACGCTGCCTGCCGCATGCTCACCGCTGCCAGACCAGCCCGCCTCCACGATCGGCAAGGGGAGATGAAGCAAAGAGGAGCAGCCGTGGGAGGACGGCAGCCACCGACAGACAGGCTCGATCTCAGAAGCAAGTCGCTGGAAGACGGCTCAGGTAAGCCTGCACTTTCCCCCACATAGCACAATGTATTGCTGTGATAGTGGGCTTTGTATTCCTCTATAGCTGATGGTGCATTGGGCTATATATTATACAGAGCAATATACCATCGGCTATAGAGGAATACAATAAATCCCTGCAATACATTATACACTGTATGTATAATGTATTGCGGGGATTTGTATTCCTCTATACTGCGCAATGCAGAATACCACCGGTTATAATGTACTATTGCTGGGATTTGTATTCCTCTATACTGCGCAATGCAGAATACCACCGGTTATAATGTACTATTGCTGGGATTTGTATTCCTCTATACTGCGCAATGCAGAATACCACCGGTTATAATGTACTATTGCTGGGATTTGTATTCCTCTATACTGCGCAATGCAGAATACCACCGGTTATAATGTACTATTGCTGGGATTTGTATTCCTCTATACTGCGCAATGCAGAATACCACCGGTTATAATGTACTATTGCTGGGATTTGTATTCCTCTATACTGCGCAATGCAGAATACCACCGGTTATAATGTACTATTGCTGGGATTTGTATTCCTCTATACTGCGCAATGCAGAATACCACCGGTTATAATGTACTATTGCTGGGATTTGTATTCCTCTATACTGCGCAATGCAGAATACCACCGGTTATAATGTACTATTGCTGGGATTTGTATTCCTCTATAGCTGGTGGTATTCTGCATTGCGCTGTATAATTTTACACTTTCCATTTCACTATATTGCACACCACACTTTTTTTTTTTCTTCCACCGCTCAGAGTTTGCTCCTGGGATGCACTACAATCTCAATACAAACTAGTAGTCCATCACTGGAACCATTTTTTCAATCCGATTAACCGAACTTAATACAGTAATCGGCTAACTAATGGATTTTGAAAATAATCATTAGCTACAGCCCTGGTAAAGGGGCAAAATTATAATGTACTACTGGCTTTATTAACTGCAGCTTGGCACTGCATGCTATTGCTGAGTCTATGGTCTATAATAAGGACCCCAAGATCCTTCTCCATCTCTGTTGTCCCCAGTGAAACCCCACTTAAGGTGTATTCACCCTAGCATGGAAAAGAAAGGCAGGTAGAGCATCCTCCAACTTCCCAGTTAAGGCACCAATGGCACATACTAATTACTCTGAAGGTGACATGGATATTGGAGTAAATTTAGAACCGTCATGACACTCTGTGTAAAATAATGTAGTTCAAAAAGAAACAAAGAGAGGAGAGAAGGGTAAGGGAAGGGGATAAGGGTGGTGTCAGGATCCCTTGGCTCATCCCTCTTAGTAGCATGATAAACTGTCTGCAGAAAGGGAGGGATGAGCATATTGAATACAGGGGTTCCACACCCTTTAGGAACCTTTTTTGCAAAATATTACATCTACTTGTTAGTTTTTTTTTAATAATAAAGAAGAAATCAATCATTTGTCTCACCTCACAGCCGTGTGCTATGGTTTGCTTGGTGTTTTTACATCTCCCTGGAACTCAGCTTTATAAAGTGGTGATCACTGGACGTTGTACTTTGCCATAAGTGTACTGTGCCCTTGGACTGCGTGCCAACGAATGATCTAATACACAGCCGTGTTCATGATTCCAGGCTGACAAATTAGGTTCAACAACCAGAAAAATCAGAAAGTGAAAAGGTATTAAAAGCCTCACCTTGTTTACAGAGCTGACCAGTCTCAGGCCGGCGTGTCCCGACTGAGCCCTGAGCTCCCAATCTGTTTACAGAAAGTCCATGAGCTGGAGGGGAAAATAGAATCAAGAGATGACTGAACCTCAACGCAAGTCAATGGGATAAAGTTACACAGTAATCATCTGTACATATCCTATACATCAGCCTTTCTCAACCTTGTCACCCCGTAGGAACCCTTGAAATCATTTTCAGGTCTCAGGGAACCCCTGCCTAAAAGGATTATATCAACCGGCAGCTCTGGGTTCATTAGCGTGATCGGTAAGTTGTAGAACATTGTAAAGCCCAACTGAACGTTCGGCTTAAATCGGCTGATTACATTCCGGGGTCATCAGAACAAGAATGAAAACAGCCACAGCCTGAGTGGAAAAGCCTGTCCCCTGCCAGCATGCTGCAAAGGAGGACCACTGCTCTTGTATGGTAGCAGAGGTCTCTCTGCAAAGGTCTGACATGCCGATTTAAACTGAAAGTTCAACTGGGATTTAAAAAAAAGAATGTGGTGTATCTAGCTTGTCTAGTACCCAGGGCAGAGCAATTTCTAACACACACACACACCTGAACACAACAGAAAAGACATTGGTGGCCAGTGTAGACGTAAGCCCTTACATTGGTGGTCAGTGTAGACGTAAGCCCTTACATTGGCGGCCAGTGTACACGTAAGCCCTTACATTGGCGGCCAGCGTAGACGTAAGCCCATAAATTGGTGGCCAGTATAGACGTAAGACCTTACATTGGTGGCCAGTATAGACGCAAGCCCTTACATTGGCGGCCAGCGTAGATGCAAGCCCTTACATTGGGCGGCCAGTGTAGACGTAAGCCCTTACATTAATGCAGGGGTAGCCAAACTCCGGCCCTCCAGCTGTGGTGACACTACAAATCCCATGATGCATCTCTCTCCGGCAGTCATGTCTGTGGCTGTGAGAAGCTTGCAATGCCTCATGGGATTTGTAGTTCCACCACAGCTGGAGGGCCGGAGTTTGGCTACCCCTGCATTAATGGCTAGTGTAGACGTAAGCCCTTACATTGGTGGCCAGTGTAGACGCAAGCCCTTACATTGGTGGCCAGTGTAGACGTAAGCCCATAAATTGGTGGCCAGTGTAGACGTAAGCCCTTACATTGGCGGCCAGTGTTGACGTAAGCCCTTACATTGGTGGCCAGTGTAGACGTAAGCCCTTACATTGGTGGCCAGTGTAGACGTAAGCCCTTACATTGGTGACCCGTGTAGACGTAAGCCCTTACATTGGTGGCCCGTGTAGACGTAAGCCCTTACATTGGTGGCCCGTGTAGACGTAAGCCCTTACATTGGTGGCCTTTCTAGATGTAACCCCTTACATTGGTGGTCAATGGATAATTGTCTCCTTGCATTGGTGGCCAGTGTAGACGTAGCCCCTTACATTGGTGGCCAATGTAGACGTAAGCCCTTACATTGGTGGCCAATGAAGACGTAAGCCCTTACATTGGTGGCCAGTGTAGACGTAAGCTCTTACATTGGTGGTCAATGGATAATTGTCTCCTTGCATTGGTGGTCAGTGTAGACGTAAGCCCTTGCATTGGTGGTCAGCGTACGTTGGAAATCAATTCACTGCTGCTCACTGCTCAAGGAACCCCTGGAAACCTCTCTCTGTACCCCCTAAAAATATACTGTAATTTCCCTTTAATCAAACAGCACACAGAAGGTACAGCTGGATAATTTGTAGTGTTTGACAATAAATCAGATCTTACTGTTATCCATTCTCGTGCCAGGACACAGGATACAGCTGGTAAAGCTGCACGCCGTGCAACGCAGGTGTATTATTACACGCTGGAGCTGTCTGGCCCCAGGATCACATTGCTCTCTATGGGTTACGTGTCCCTTCTCATATATCCTATTATTAGCTGTGTATAGCCGCCACTAAATACACAACAAGCCCAATATACGGCTAGTGCTGGCGTCTCATGGCATAGTTGGTAGTGGCCCCCTGATTACCCAGGACAGTCCCGTGATCAGCACATCTGTCCCTGGAAATATTGATGATTTCCAGCATGGACTATGGACCGTCTGTTTTCCTGGTTAATGAAGAGTCACAATAAGCTTTTTCTTTATTTTAAGGACACCTGTACTGGGGAAGCATGGAAGCTGCCATTACTGACCATTCCTTATAAAAAAATACTAGTTCCCTGGCTGTCTTGCTGATCCCCTGGCTTCAGTACTCTGAGTCCCAGGCAGGAGTTATGACTTAACACTTTGCTGATGTCCATTCGTTTCAGGTCAGTGACTTATAAAGTAATGAAGCCAGAGGTTTAATATTGGTAAGGGTCCATTCACACCACAGAGTTACGTGGAGTTTATTGCACTATACCACACGTTAGGTGCGCGGTTGCACCGTGATGCCGTTCCTACATAATGGCACCCCACGTAGGTGTGCGTTCAATGCCTGCTACTGCAATTAAGTGAATTGCCACGTGGTGATAAAAATAGTACATGCACAACATTTCTCCACTGCATGGCAGCACAACGCACGTTATTGCAGTACTGTGCACTGCAATGCACACTTACTAGAAGGTGCATTGAGGTGCCATTTTAAATGAATGGTAACACAACGCCCCAGTTCACCTTGTGTGCGGTGCTGTGCAATAGGGTTCCCTAAACGCATGGATCCTGCGTATTCAGTGCAACGTTATGGTGTTATTGGGCCCGAAGTCTGGCAAGCAGCATCTTCAGAGCCGGGGGCAGCGGTGACATCCTCTGTTTTTCCTCTCTTGGTGTAAACAGATGCTGCAGATTATGTTCATTATAGCGCATTGCTAAGCACTGTATGGAGTGGCTTCCTACTTACGTGCTGCAGTAGCGTATGTTAAAGCACGTGTTTTTACCGCAACGCACATTAACCTTTGGTATGAAATGCAATCTGCTGGCATTTGTTTAATACGGCACACACACACACACTTAGCTGCATTGCTTAAAATGTTGCAAGTGCAGTTTATCATGCATCAGGGTCAGCCTATTTATTGTAACACAACGCACAGATCGCTAATAACAGATATGTGACGGGACCTTCAGGGTATTGTGGTCTTTATGATAGCATGTTGGGCCACTCAGCTTGACACCTATGTATATGGGGGGAGTCTTTGTGTTCTCTGGGTTGTCATAGATTTGATATATACAGTTGGTCCCACAAGGGTTGCCCCTTAAAAAGTCATTTTAGCGCAGGCTGAACCACACACATGCAGGCAGAGGGCACCTGTCACCATTGTACACAGGGGGGGGTCTTTGCGTTCTCCAGACTGTCCCGAAGTTGAAATGTACAGTTGATCCCAATAGTTGCGGGCAGATGGGGCACCTGTCCCCTATGTACACAGACGGG